CTCCCTCTCCAAGTCGCCAGTCTCACTCCCATGCTGGGCTTGGCCCAAAAGCGCAATAAGCAGTCTGTTTAGGGTAGCATCTTTGCCCTCCCCCCCTGTTTCTCATACCATGGCACCCCCCGTCTAGGGGTATTTTGTCTTATTTATTTTATTCATTTATTTATTTTTCCAACTGTTTTTCATTCTTAATCTTATTTTGTTTTATTTTATTTTATTTATTTATTTATTTATTTATTTTAGACCTTTTTAGAACATATTTGTTTGCCGATGCCACACTGCTTGTGTCATCACCAAAAGGGGCAATTGATAGGGTATCATAGTGACTAAGGAATTGATACCATGGCTAATGACATGGAGAAGGGAAGAAGACAAGAGGAAAAAGACAAGGCTGGATAACAGGGGACAAGCCCAGGCACCTGACGTCAGCAAGGACAAGGGGCAGGGGGACACCCTCTGCCAAAAGGACTATGAACAGTGTCAGAGAGTCTGAGGCGCCCGACCAGAGCATTTATGGCTTGGCAGGCGCCCAGACCACTACCTAACTCTCAATTGTGTATAAATAGGAGTTCTCTCCTCATAAATAAGATCATCTACTCTTTACTCCAACTTCTCTCTACTTTCCCTCTCTACATACGTCTTCTTTTCTCCTACTTCGGACGAGGAGGGGCGCCTACCCTTTCAAGGTCATGGCTGACGCCCCAAACCCCTTGGACCCGAGCGACCCCCAGTCGATTGGGCTCAAACAGTAACAATTGATTTCAATACAAAGTACGGTGAATCTGTACAAAGTTTATGAATTGACTTTCGTTTGAGATGAGGAAATATAGAAGAATTTATATATTTGTATTCAAACCATCTCGAAAAACTAGAATCGTTGAAAACTAATTAATTGTGGATAGGTTTAAAATACTGAATGAACTCTCTTGTGTGAAGAAGACGTGTAACTCTTATTGCTTGGATTGCTCTCTCTTTCCTTCACTTTGTTAAAAGCTAACTTTTCTTTCATTTTTGTGGTACTGAATAATCCCATTGTTGCGAAAAAGGAAGACAAATGGAAAGGAATGTTTCATAATTTCTTTGCTGTTTCCGTGTGTGTGTAGAGAGTACATCTGATCTGGCCTCATCAAAGTTTTGAGACATTCGAATCAAATCAAAGAGCAACAAAATGAAATTATGTGAAAAGGGACCAATAATAAAATAGGGCCTCAATTGTGTCACAACTCACAAGTCTCCCCCAAACACTCATTTTCATTTTTCAGACGAAATATTTGAATTTATTTTTCTATTTGAATAATTTGGGTGTGTGGTCATCATGTTGTTTATTATTATTATTAATATTATTTCCGATCATTGAGTTGTGGAAAATTCATTGCATTAGGAAGAGATATGGAAAGTGGGCTGGGGAGCAGAAAATTTCACAAGCTCAAGTAACAGACAAGAAAAGGGCAATGGTTAGGGTGTCAATTCGGGTTCGGTTTTTCGGGTTTACCCGAAACCGACCCGATTATATACATTTTCGGGTTCGGTATTCGTTTCGAGTTTCGGGTTCGGTTTTACTTATCGGTTTTTCGGGTTCTGGCTAAAAACGTCCAATGAATAGAACTCAGCCCGTATTTTAAGCCGTTCGGGTTTTCGGGTTCGGTTTTAGTGATTTTCGGTTTTGGGTTTTTTTCGGGTTTCGGTTTGGGTAACCGAACCCGACCCAAACTGACACCCTTAGCAATAGTGGTTGCCTGGTTGGCGGCTGCTGTGTAGCTTTGCCGAGAGCGATTGGGTCGAGCGTTAATCGCAAAAATATTTTTCACCTAATTATTAAGAAAATTGACAAACATTTATATTAAATTCCTGGCAAACTAGTAAAAATATAACAATTAGACTCTACCCACCTTGTGTCTTGTGGATCTGTGTAGAATTTGTATCAAAATTTTCATTACTCAATCATTGAACTATGTAGAGAGGACTCATTTTGCGACTTTGGTACAATTAATAGTTTATAATTTGCGTAATAAAAAATGTAATTAAAATAGCTTAAAATTTGCATAATATACATTACACAATATAATAACTATTAATGGTATTCCAAAAATATTCTTTATTTTCAGCCTTTAGAAGGCGCCGGTTAATGTGCAGTGCGCTTATGAAAAATGATAAATATTCAGTAGTAAAAAGTACTAGAAACAAAGTTTTGTCATGTGACAATATGGTGCTAGTCATTCGCATAACCCTGCAATTCATCCACCACCCGCTCTAATAAGTGCGGGTAGGGAATTTACAAATCTGTAATCCATTCACATCAATCACTCGCTCTTCGAATGTTCAGATTATTTGATGATGGATCAATGTCAACCCGTGAATTAACCACCCACATGCGCAGCCAAGTTATTTCTCACTTGACATTCTTATACGTTACGACAATAATCATTAACTTTTTTTTCGTTATAGTTTGGTAATAGTTAATTTGAAACATAAAATTCCAGGAAAACACTACACTTGAATGCTAGTTTTGAGTTTTGACTGTTAGAAGAAGCATATGGCTCTCAAATTCATGCTGCCTCGTTTAACGATGGATTAATAAAATTGGAAAAAGGCGGGGTTTGATGGTCCAAACTCCAACGAACAAACAGCCTCAAAGTTGAAAGTCCCTTCTATCCTCTCATAACGGTAATTGACACTTTTTGGGGATCGTGATAACATATTTCCAGTCGGCAGTCGCCTCCCACACTGTGTATTTCTGACAAAAGTTCCCCATTGGTAAACAGAGGAATCCTGACAACTCAAGAACACAGAGACAGACAGATCCTCGTTTCAAGTTCTGAAAATTAATAGATAAATTATTACCTGTCTTTCTCGTTTCTATCTCCTATTATCTTACGAGTCAATAAGTAAGATTTATAAATTTGTTTTTCGAGATTCGTAATTAATTTACAGGAGAGGCAGAACTTTCCGAGATGTTATGCTTATAGCTTCCTCATATTTCTTAGTTGTGGTCGAAGTATTCTGCACACTCGTTTATCTCCTTCCTTCAGTTAAACGATTAACGATCTAACAACGTCACCACACACCATGAGAGTGTCCTGCGCTTTCGATTTAACATCGCGTTTTGGCTGCAGGCAGACCGGCAGGGTTGGAAGGGAAATTTCGTCACGAGAAAACGAGTGAAAAAAACATAATAGAAAATTAGGGGGCGGTGGTGGGGAGGGTGGCCTGGCAGGCCAAATTGAGAATATTAGTAAAGAAATGGGGTCAAACCGCCAAACTCCAGACTGGCTGGCCACCCAATTATGAAACTACACACACTGCCTGCCCTCTCTCTCATTGTTTTTTGCTTTCTTTTCATGGCGTGCTGCTGGTCCCATCCTTTTCATCATCTCTTATTTTAACTCGTAGTTTTGGTATTAGTGGAAATTTTATTGGAAGAAAGAATCAGTGGGACTGGTCAAGTTGTTAGTAGAAAAAATGACAACCATGTGATCCATTTTTTGGGTTAAAAATTGTAGGGTTCAAACATTAAAAGAAAAAAACAGTGTTCGGGTTCGATCCGAGACTCGTACTTTGGTTTTGTTCGGTGCTCGAAAAATTTAATTTCGTCAGGTGAAACTTTGGAGCTTCAGTAACAGTGTTCAAGTCAAGGTCGAGTCATCTTCTTTCCCAAACTAATTTGTCATCTACGGACAGGTTTTTTGCTGCTCCGGATCCAATCCTTCTTCCTACCGTTTCTCATACTCTTTAATATTATATGTCATGAAAATTCTTACTATACTTTATCGTCAAAATTGGCAATTCCTTCTTCGACAAAAACACCGTGGATATATAAGTTCATTGGAACAAAACCTAACTCATAACATGAAGCAATCACCAACATTTTTTTAAATGTTTGTATATATCCATCCACATGGTAGAGGCTAACGTATGATATTGATATACACATGTTTTCATACTTTTTAGATGTACTTTTGGTATGTTCTTATGTCTCTGAACCACTGTTTATTATTTTTAGAGTATATTAATCTTTTGGTCTGAGTTAGAAAAGTAGAGATTGATATTCACCATTAGAGACTAAAGTATAATATAATACTTCAAATTCAGGTTAATTTATGATTTAAATAGTAAATGTTAAGGTGTTAATCATTTAGATTTCTTAGACACTTACCCTTACCCTTTCATAGACCATCACCATTCACCACCAGGAACGCTCAAACACTTGCATTATACTATTACTACCGGAGAGAGGACAGTTTCCACTAATATGTGTGTTCTTGTTTGTTGACCTCTGAACAATGTCCGACAAAGTCCAAGGAAAGTTGACATTTCTGTACCCTTTTCCGGCGATTAATTTAAGTTTTCCGGTTAGATTAGTAGTCCAACGCACACTCATGAAATGTTATAAATAGTGCCTTGAATGCAGAGAGTCGGTTCTCGGCCGGCCGCCGGCTGAGGATTCCTGAAGAACAGAAACTAAAAATTTACTCAGAACACAAATGATCCAAGATTCTATGCTCATAATTGGGGATTCAACATTTTGATCACAGTAAGTTCTGGTGTATAAATAAATAAGAGGTTATTGAGTCAAGCTGTAGTAAAAGCTATACTATTTCGGTGTGAGTCGAATCATTTGTCAATGTGGATCCTACATATATTATCTACAAATTAATTTTTTATGTTAAATTTTATCGAGACTAATCTAACACTATCTTTCCATAGTTATTAAAAAGTTCTGTTAGACACAAAAAGAAAACGCGTATGATATGTGCATTGATCGTCAATCTCTATTGTTTGTTTATTATAATTTATAAACACCACAATGAATTTAGTATTATATACGCTATCTCGACTATCATATAGTGTAATTTATTCAAATAATTCTTTTATATTCAAATGCAAACGATTGGAATAAACATCCTATTATTGTAACAAATACATTTTTCCGTTAAAACTCATTTTTCCTGTAGTGCTCATTATTTACATTTTCGTGACAAATGCAAAGGTACATCAATGGGTGATTAGTAGACGAATCGAAACGAGAAAGAAACAAGAGAAACCCCCAGGATGGAAGAAACCATCATCATCACAAGCCCCAATTCGGTCCGACCAGGCGACCCAGATGGAACCGGGCTCTGAACCGGCGGCTGCGGGCACGAATACGGCAGCGGCTCCCCGCACAAACCAGGATTACCCATGAAACAATCAGCTCCAAAAAACCCGGTGGCAGCAGCTCCGTCAGGAATCGGTCCCCTCAAATCGTTGTTGGACACGTTGAATTTGGCCAGCATCTCAAAATTGAACTCCGGAATCGGGCCGGTGAGCCGGTTGTTCTCGGCCCGGAAGAATCTCAGCGGCTGGTCGCTCGCCCTGTACGTGGGCCTGGTGATCGATTCAGGAATCGAGCCCGTAAGCTGGTTGTTTTGCAGGTCCAGGATTAGTAGGCTCGTCAGGTCTCCTAAGGTTTCAGGAATCGGACCGGAAAGCCGGTTGCCGCTCAAATCGAGGGTGGTCAGGTTCGTGAGGCTCCCCATTTCGTTAGGAATCGGACCGACAAACCGGTTGTCGCTCAAATCGAGGATGGCTAGATTGCCGCACTGCCCGATTTCTTCGGGAATCGGTCCGCGTATGGTATTGTTTTGCAATTTCAACAAGAAAAGAGACTCGGCAGAACAAAGGAGTTCAGCGTCCAGAGCTCCGGAGAATCGGAATCCAGATAGGAAAATCCCCACTATGGATCCGGAGACGTCGCAGCGGACTCCGTGCCACTGATTTCGACACGGGTCGGTCGCCATATCCCAACCCAAAATGTTGTTATTTTGGGTTGGGAAATCAGGTCCCACGAGCTTCTTCATGAAACCTACCAGCGATAGCTTCACCGCATCCGTCTCGGAGCTTGACGATGAGATCAGAGCCGCTAACGAGACGATGATAAGCCCGAGTGTGAGAATTCGAATTGAAACCATTCTAATTACCGACTTTCTGAATCTAGAGTGTGATGAATGTGTATTTTTTCTTCTTTCTTTGCTTTCTTAGTTTTGACTGAGTTGAAATGGGTAGCATTTATAATGATTTTGCTGATAAAGGGTTTGGCCATAGATGACAGAATGAGGATTTCTTTCAGAGTTGTTTTTTGAAGTTTGACTGAGCTACAAGACCTATGTTGTGTATGTTCATGAAGCTCGGGAACAATGGTGGACGATCTCCCTGTCAGTTTCGTGAAGGGCAAAGTCCATTTCATTATGTTTTTGTAGACTGAACATGGGACTTGTAGTTTGGACTAGAGGTTGAATCCACCTGAATCCGTAAACGGTAAGGACTTCTGGACTTGGATGGTTTTCTTGTCAGGTTGCCAATGCATTTGATGGGCCCAAGCCCACTCCATATTCCGACCCATGGGCTTACTCCAGGGGATAACCTAACAAGGAATAGACCTATCTAGCTTATGAAAGAATTTAGGGGTGGGCAAGTGGGTGATTAATCAGTGAATTAATATCGATCCACCCGCAAATAACCCGACCCGCAAGCAGTGAGTGATTGATGAGGGTGGATTGCGGATAGATAAATCTCCCAACCGCACTTATGTGGGTGGGTGGTAGGTGGATTGCGGGTCACCCGAATGATCCGCATCCTATTTTGACATGAAAAAATATTATTTTGACTACTATTATTTGTTATTGTGTTGTGTAATATTCATTAGATATTGAATATTGGAATGAAAATTATTGTTGATATCCATTAAATGTTGGATGAAAACTATAAATTATTAATTTTATCAAAATCAAAAAATGCGTAAGTTTTCTCTACACAATTGGTTGATAGAGTAGTAAATTTTTTTTATACAAATACTACATGGATTTACTTGAGAAACAAATGAGAAGCGTTTAAATTGATACAGACTTACTAATTTACTATGAACTTATTATAAATTTTAGTCAACTTTCTTAATGGCTAGTAGGAGAATTGCTTTTGCGGGTTGACCCACGACCCACCCAACTCAACTCACAAAAGAATGTGGATGGATTGCGAGTCACAATTATAACAACTCGCTAGTAAGCGGGTGTGTTAATTTGAAACGAAAATCCACCCAACCCGCCCATTGCCCACCCCTATGAAAGATGCCAGTATTCCATACCGTAAAAAGGGCAGGACAGACCGTTGCCGTTAGCCTGGAAGAAACTCAGCGGCAGATCGTCGGTCCTATACGTCAACTTGGTGATCGACGCTATGAATCAGGTCGGATAGCTGGTTGTGAACTAGGGGTGGGCATCGGTGCGGTTCGTACCGTATTGATATTAACCGCACCGAACCGCATCTTAATCGGACCGCTCCGCTTGTTTGACCGCTAAGTTATCGATGCAGTCAAACCAAACCGCATAACCTAGCGGTTTGGTATGGTTTATACCGCATTTTGACCCCAATTCATTATGATTTGTATAACGTATCCAAAGCAGAGCATTCCAAAATCGAGAACCGAATCAAGAATTGCTACTGATGGAGTTGGTGGCACTGTTAGCGTAGCCATCAAAACAAAGCATGCCCAAAATCGAGAACTGCTACTGCTGGAGCTGGTGACTCTGTTATGTGATCCAGTTCGAGGAACACCATACTCGTCAATTGAGTCAGCGATTTAGGAATTGGATCGGTTAACCTGTTGTTGATCAAACCAAGAGCGATTAAATTCGCGCAGTGTCCTATCGCGTCAGGAATCTAACTTATAGGTGATCCGTTTAACGGAATAAAACTTAACATGAGACTTATAGGTGGACTATGTTAGTGTTGTGGTATATGATCCAGGATTGAACCTCTCCCAACAACTCGAGTTATTGGGATCAACTGGTTCATGACATGGTATCAGAGCCTTCTGTGACCGAGAGGTCTTGTGTTCGATTCCCGGTGACCCCCATTTGTTAAGCACACGGTATTCTTGTCTTCAAACCTGTGCAAACTTCAAGCCATTGTGAGTGGCTTTCGTTTGAGGGGACGTGTTAGTGTTGTGGTATATGATCCACGATTGAACCTCTCCCAACAACTCGAGTTATTGGGATCAACTGGTTCATGACAGACTAGAGATGAGATTGATTCTCCACTTAATATTTAGGACGTAGTCAAATACTCAAATTATAGTTTTATGTATAAGCGAAATAATGAGTATAAAGTTTAACTGTAAAAACATAAGTTTATATGAATTATGAAGCATGCAAATTATCATAAATCTTACAACTAAAACTTATATTTTGCTAGATATAAACAACATAAAATTTTAAATAACTATAAAATATCAGCATTCATAAGCAAAATTGAAAAGCTCTTAAACTAAAGTCCTGCTTATAAAAGGAAGTTCATAAACATATAAGACTAGTTGAAAATACACATTAGCAAGCATGAACCATAGCTCATATTCACAACTTTATATATCCAAATTATTTAAATAAAGAACTCCAATGTTCTTGATCAGGAAGTTAAGATGACATTAGGGAATCAACATGAAAATTTAAATCTACATCAAAGTCTCATCATCGTCATCATCTCCATCATCATAGTCGTCACTGCTACTAACAACATGCTCATCAAATCTCTCTCTATCTATCATCATCATCCTATGGGAAGTGGGAAGAGGACTTAATTCAACTCTAACCACATGATCACTTTACTTTTTACTCAGAATGTTGCTTGACCATCCCACCTAGTGCCCAACCTGCTCCATAAACACAACTGTTCGAAGCTCTTTAACATGGGTTAAATGCTAGCTTTTTAAGGAATTTAATGTGTGACTCGCACGGAACTACACCGCGAATTAATTTCGATTAGATCTCAAGTTTTTAAATTCTAGCCGGGTGCAGTATAGGGCAAGTATTTAATCATCAAACCCGGGCCGGTCCATGTACTCATATTTCAATCGCTTAGGTTGTTATATCTAGCAAAACGGTTTTGGGTTTAAAACTAAGAAAACTACAAATAAAAACAAGCAAGTAAAGTAAATCGAGGTCATCCCAATGAGAGAAGAGTTCACTCGGGTGTTGCTCCCCCTAGCTAACAATTACGACTTGAAGAATCGAACGACCATGTGTGCTCAGGTGGTTATAAACAGCAGGGAAGTCTAACAAGTAGTCAAGGCTACCCTCTTAATCTCTAGGCTGAGGAAATGGGATATGATCCAAGCCGCTAATGCGATCCTCTCATCCTATCGACTAAGGAATGGTTAGACTTCACCCTCGAATTGGAGTTCGAAAGGCCACCCACAACCAAACCCTAAGTGCTAATACGAAATAGGAGGTTTGCCCTTAATTAACCTAGAATAGGAGGCATGAAATGCCCAAGAAAACCCATCTCTAATAGAGTCTTTTAGGTTAAGGAGGGTTCACTCTAAACTAGTTTAGGAGGCCATGAATGCCCAAGGAAACCCAGCTCAAATTGAGCCTCTTTGGATAAAGGAGGTTTCCTCTCTAAACTAGCCTAGGAGGCATGCAATGCCCAAGAACACCCATCTCTCATTTAGCCTCTTAACAGGAGGATGTCTCCTCTCTAAACTAGGTCAACATAGCACATACAATCACCATAAAAAATACCACCAAATTCACATTAAACACAACCACAACACAAATCATTCAATTCATACAAGCATTCACATAATTGTAGCTAGGGTTCACAACACCCAAGTGTAGGTAGGCTATTCCATAGCTAGGCAAAAAAAAAAAAAAAAAAAAAACAAGAAAGAGGAGAGAAAGAACCATGAAGAGATTACAATCTTCCTCCCTCCTTGCTTGAATCTCCCTTGAGATATAAGAATCTTCACTCCTCTAGCTTAGGGCCAGCCCAAATCTCCTTCTTCCTCATTTGAATGACACTTTCTCTCTCTAGAATAGGAAGAGGAAACTATAATCTCTCACTAGAAACACCATTTTATTCTACACACTAAAAACCTACTAAAAAGCTCTCGCTTCCTCCTTTCAGCTCTCTATTTATACCCAGTCGTGCCCAGTTCACGACCGTGAACATTAGAACGAGTCCGTGAACTTAGTGAGATGGATCAAAATGCACTGCTTCACTTCTGGGGTTCATGGTTTGTGGTTCAAGTTCACGGTCTTAGCGACCGTGAACTCGCTGCTCTGACTATGAACTGCAGCTGGCTCCTCCAATCGTCCCAAAACTCATCCTCGACCCTTCCACACGTGCTAGGACCTAAAATGTATCAAAACAAGCACAACCTAGCGTGAAATATGTCGAGGGACGATGAAGTGCAAAGTCAAACTATCAAAAAATGAGGGGCAAAATGTGTACAATTAGACCCGAATCAATGTGCTTATAGAAATTCCAATGAGCTTATATTAAGCTTATGGTGCCAAAAAATTCAAAGAAAATTATTATATTTGAGGAGATAAGACCGTAAAAGCACGAACTTTAAAAAAAAAATTGAAAGTTAACTTTTAAGATTAAGCTGTACTTTTTAACTAAATTCGTTATAACTATTTACAGATAGGAAAAATCTACTAAAATGTTTAACTTGCCTAGAGGGAAGAGGAGCTACTAATTGTTGTTTTATTGTTTAGAACTACTATTTTTTTTTTTTATAAATTGGAAGCTGAAAGCTAGAAACAGAGTACAAGATGTGGTCACACCCACTCAACTTAGAGGGGAGTTCAGCCGCACAACCTAGAAGCCTACTCAAATTCATGCAGCAAAAAACAAGTACACTGCAGACAATCTAGAGCTATCCCAAAATATGTATACGTGTTCTCTCTTTGGTGTTGTACTAGTCTTGGAAAGCTGACTCACAAGATATCATCTATGAGAATGCTATTTAGATTGTTGGAGGTTCATCTAATTCATACGTACTGAAGGGATAGACGAGACTCTGTTCTGAGAGCCAGTCCGCGACTCTATTCCCTTCTTTATACGTATGAACCATTTGAACCACCAAACTTTGAGAAAGACTTCGTCGAATCATTCCGACAATAGCAGCATAGGGGTGGACAACATCAGTACGTTTGCTGAGTAGGTTGAGAGCCCGCTGCGAGTCCGACTCAAGAATTAGAAATTGAGCTCCGTTCTTCCATGCCAGCTGAAGTCCTTTGTAGATACCCCAAAGTTCTGCCATTAGGGTTGTACCATGTCCCAACTTGTTGCAGAATCCCCCAACCCAATCTCCATGACAGTTTCGAAGAATTCCTCCAGTCGTTGCAATTCTGGGATTGGTTTGAGCTGTACCATCAATATTAAGCTTCCACCAGCCGACTCTTGGGGCTTTCCAAACAATCAAAGTCTCGATTCTTTCAATGGGGGCTGCTATGTCATTCGCCTTGGTTGCTGCTTCCCATACCTTAGCCCATTCTTTTGCTTTTGTTTTCACATAATTGTAGAGCGTTGAGGATGAGAGCTTCACTCCTTTGTCTAGAACTACTAATTGTTTTATTGGTGATTCATGATAAGAGGTCTGGTATATAAATAAGAGGTTATTCAGTAAAATCTATACAATTTTGGTGTGATTTGAATCATTCTTTATTGTAAATTTCTACATATATTATCTATAACTTACATTTTTATGTCAAATTTTAACAAAATTAATCTAACATGATATCTTCCTATCCTAATAAAAAATTTCACTTAGACGCAAAATCAGCTATGATATGTGCATTGACCATCAATCTTTATGATTTCCTTCTCACCTACTAAATAATTTTGTTTGTTTATTAATTAGTGTATCTACGCTATCTTGAATATCATAGTAATAGTAATTCACTCAAGTAATTTTTAAAATTCGAATGGAAATGATTAGATCTTATAACATTTTTTCCCACTAGTTATTTACATTTTCGTGATAAACGTGAAAGAAACCATATGTTGATTGATACAATGAAAAATATTTACCATGGTATGGTGATTTCAAATTACCGGTTAATCTCGGTTATGTGCCCTGTTGGCAAAGCTACATCCATCATCCATGGATGGTTAAATCAGATGAATCGAAACAAGAAAGAAAAAACAGAAACCCCCAGGCTGCAATAAACCATCATTACAAGCCCCAATCTGGTCCGACCAGGCAACCCAGACGGAATCGGGCTCTGAACCAGCGGCAGCGGACAAGAATACGGCAGTGGCTCCCCGCACAAATCAGGATTACCCATGAAACAATCAGCCGCAAAACTCCCGCTGCTAGCAGCCTGGGCAGGAATCGGTCCGGTCAAATCGTTGTTGGACACGTTGAATTCGGACAGAATGTAAAAATCGAACCCTGGAATCGGGCCGGAGAGTCGGTTGTTCTCGGCCCGGAAGATTCTCAGCGGCAGCCCGCTCACCCTGTCCGTGGACCTCGCGATTGATTCAGGAATCGGGCCGGAAAGCTGGTTGTCGTGCAGGTCCACGAACGTTAGACTCGGCAGCTCTCCTACCGATTCCGGAATCAGGCCCGAAAGTCGGTTGTCACCCAAATCGAGGAGGGTCAGATTCTGGAGGCTCCATATCGAATCAGGAATCGGACCGGCGAACCGGTTGTTGCTCAAATCGAGTATGGATAAATTGATGCACCGCCAAATGTTTCTGGGAATCGGTCCGCGTATGGTGTTGTTTGGCAGTTTCAACAAGGAAAGAGAGTCGACGTAACAGAGGGATTCGAAGTCCAGAGCTCCGGAGAATTGAAACCCAGAGAGGTAAATCCCTACCACGGATCCGGATGTGTCGCAGCGGACTCCGTGCCACTCGTTTCGACACGGATCGGTTGTCATGTTCCATCCCGAAATATTGTTATGCGCCGGGGAACTGGGTCCGGTGAGCTTCTTCATGAAATCGACCAACGCTAGCTTCACCATGTCTGTTTCGGAGCTCGACGATGGGATCAGCTGAGCCGCCAACGAGATGACGAGAAGATCGAGTACGAGAATTCGAATTGGATTCATTCTTTTTTACTCTTTTCGAACGTAGAGTGTGATGAATGTGTATGTTCCTTTATTCTTTGCTTTCTGATTTTTTTGGCTGAGTTGAAATGGGTAGCATTTATGATGGTTTTGCTGATGGAAGGGGTTGGCCAATGGCCATAGATGACATAATGAGGATTTATTGCAGATTTGTTTTGAAGTTTGACCGAGCTACAAGAAGACCTATGTTGTGTATGTTTATCAAGCTCAGGAACAATGGTGGACGGTGTAACGGTCAGTTTCGTGAAGAGCAAAGTCCATTTCATTACGTTTGTAGTCTGTAGACTGAACATGGGACTCGTAGTTTGGACTAGAGATAGAATCTACCCGAATCCGTAAACGGTAAGGACTTGGATGGTTTTCTTGTCAGGTTTCCAAAAGCATTTGATGGGCCCAAGCCCATTCCATATTTCTACCCATGGGATTATTCCAGGGGATAACCAAACGAGGAACATACTTATCCAGCCGATCCACAAATTTCCATAGTTTAATTTTCCTAATTTAATTCATTGCAAAATAAGGTCGGAAATTAGTTGATTTATAGATATCGTTGTTGTGTTGAACTTATTCATAACGAGTTCTCGCGTATTTGATAGCATTAAACTTGATCTCTATTAAGAATGCAAGTCATGAGAAAAAGTTATTCATTTATGCTCCCAATTATCGATTGTGTTGAGACTCATAATTCTCTGCTTATTGGTACTTTGACGCGTGCACCATATTCTTCTGCATGTGAGTAAGGGCAATTACTGGGAGATTTTGCTGCCACCAACAAGTAAAAAAATAGTAAAGATAGAAAAAGATCATAACAAAAACTATTTCCGAACAACCTAATAGATTTCAATTTTCAGGTCGATTAGCAAAAACTGTTCTTTCATATTTTACCTTTTTTTAGAAGGAACAATTTGATACAATCTCCCCTCTCTACTTCCATGTGGGGACTGGGGTAAAACAGAAGTCATAAACAACAAGTGTTACATTCCTTTTATTAGACGTACTAAATCTTCTACCTAGAGAAACAAAAGAGAAGAGTAGACTCTTATATGAAAATGGATCATCAGAAAAATCTAATCAAAAGAAACGAGAAACCCAATGCTGAAACCAACCCAACCCATCCCTCCCCTGCTCCAGAACAAAACCCCGTCCCCTTCTGCTCCGGCGACTCCGCCGGACTCGGCACCTCACTCGCCGGCGGCGGCGCCCATCCCGGACACGAATTCTCCAACGGCTTCCCGCACAACCCAGGATTCCCACCAAAACTTTCCGCACCAAACCGGCCGGTCCCCTCAGGAATCGGCCCGACGAGCTCGTTATTCGAAACATTGAACCGGGCCATTGCCCGGAAATCAAACCGCGGAATCGCGCCGGATAAACGGTTGTTCTCAGCAAGAAAGAACACCAGCCTCGGAATCCCAGCCAGACCTTCAGGAATCTCGCCGGAGATTTCGTTGTGCGAAATCTCCAGCGTCGTCAGGTCTCTCAACCGGAGAATCGAACCGGGTATCGACCCGGTGAACCGGTTGTCGTCCAGAGCCAGGATGGTCAGACCCGTGCAGTTACCCAACGATTCAGGGATTTCGCCGGAAATGGTGTTGTTTCGCAGGATCAGGACGGCGAGCGATTCGACGGCGGAGCAGAGGGTTCCGGCGGCGTCGAGTGTTCCGGCGAATCGGAACCCGGAGAGGGAAATCGACATCACGGATTGGGAGCCGTCGCAGTGGACGCCGAGCCAGCGACAGGGGTCGGAGGTCGTGTTCCAACCGTATTTGTGGGTCGGGAAGTTGCCGCCGGAGAGGTTCGTCATGAAATTGACCAGGCTCTGCTTTGCTGCTTCGGTTTCAGAGGTTGATGGCGCGATTTGGGTTATCAGCGAGATGAGGAGCAAGGAGAAGATGAATTGAACTACAGCCATTTCTGATCCGAGGGAGTTGGGTTTTTTGTTTGTTGAAAGGAAATTGGGTCCTTCTGTATTAACTAACCGTTTTGGATCAAGACAACTTAGTTAACTTTCTTGGAGTGTTCTTTCTTTGTTAGATTAAAACTATGGAGCAAGGAGAATGTGTATGTATAGAGGCTAGAGCTACTTACCTCACTTTTTTTCAAAGTTGCGTGGATTACCAAGTTGTGAATTCAAAGAGACAAAACACTAATATATGTTTTCGTTTTCATGTTGTTGTTAAGAAATTGGAAGAGAAGTTGGGGAAATGGATGATCGTGGAATGACGGTTCTAGTGGAGAAGGGGAAATGAATATGCTTATCACACGATTAGATATGAATATTAAAATATCCATTCATCTATACTGATTTGATGAAATATGAACTCATAATATTTTTGTTTAACTTGTTATTGCATCGGTGATCATTGTTGTGACTTCGTGCAAATGTGCATAATTTTTTTTGTATTACATAAACTTTTCAGAGCGAGATTATATCATCAATAGTGATGTAGTTTCATTATTGTAATCCTAACGTTAATGCATAAGGTCTCGCTGCTTAGTTGATAGATATGAGTTATTATTGCATGCTCGTTGAGTTATAATTTAGTCTAGGTATTTTTTCGCGAGTGAATGATGAATCAATTTCAATTCATGAAGACATTACCTCTTAGCAAGCATTAAAAGGTAAGTTGAAGTCTTATCACCACTTTCTCTTTTCCAGTGATCCTTTCTTTTGGCAGTTTAGTCGTCGTTTCTTTACTTATTTAGGTCGTATAATTAACAATTCAAACCTTTCGTTGAGTAGATCCTAGTTCGAAGTCTTGTTCCTGGATTTCTTCTTTTGTGGTATTCAATTCAAGGGAATGTGTCTTTTTGTTCTAAGGATAGATAGATCCGTCCATCAAGCATATGTATGTTTAGGATTATTGCTGAACTCTCAGAGAAAGTTACACTAGGGGGTCATTTGCTTGAGGGTTTTGGTCATGGATTTGGTCATGGAAATATATCTATCATGGATTTGAACCGAAATTCATCGTTTGTGGGGCCAACCTCTTTTGGGGTTCCAAATCCGTGGACCCCATGGACTTGGAAGTTCCACCTCTTGAGGTGGAATTTGGGGTGATGGATTAAAATCCATGATGGTAAATTATCTTTCTACCATTTTAATTATTTCTTTAATTACAAATTTGTCCTACTTCAATTCAATGGTCATGCCACTGTAAACTTTTTAATTTCGTATTTTATAAATACACTACAAAAAAGACAGTCATTATCGACGACACGTTTTTTGTCAAAATAAATCAATTTGCGTCGGAAATGACCTTTTTCGACGACATACAGTTGTCGGACGTCGTCATAAATTGTCCCGTCGCTAATAAAATAATACCGACCAGTCGTCAAAACAAAAATATTATCGACGGCATGAACTTGTTAGTAATAAAAAAATGACGTCACAAATGAAATCACTCATGACGGATGAATTTGACGTATTTTTTTCTCGACGGCAAATTTATTTATTTTTGACGAATTATTTTCGTAAGTAATAAATAAATTCTGACTAGCCGTCATAAATACTATTTATACTAACGTCAACAAATCGTCAAAAATAAATATTTTTAACGAGAAAATGAGGCCGAATTTTTTTTATACGTTGTACACACATTTGCGAGGTTCTATGAGCGTCAATAATGTATTATTCTCGACGGATTTTCAGAAATATTATTTCACTGATGCCACCAAACTTTTGTTAAAACTATGTTTTTTCCAACGTGTCGTCGGAGAAATTATTTTTACCGATGAGAGCTGTTTACCGTAAAAAATAAGCTTTTCCAACTTGTTATCGAAAATATTATATTTACAGATGACGCTTACTTATCGTCAATACTTTGAATTTCCGACTCGTGAAATTATATCTAAATGATAATTTGTAGCAAATAGCGTGACTAAATTTCAATACGTAAATTCACTAAAAATAATAAGAATTGTTGGGCATGTGACTCGGATCACTCCCGCGCCAAAGAAGCACGCCAAACCGCACGCCACGACAAACACGGCGCGACACGTCCGACAGCGTCGAGACCTTGCGCGCGGCGAGAGTGAGTCTATGCGCGCGAATGGAAGACAAGGCGGCAACCAGACTCAAGAGCCGGAGAGGGCGTCGTTGTGTCTCCCGAGGGAAGGTCACGTCAAGACTTTTGAGTACAAATCATGGACAACCCTCTGACAGGTCCTAGGTTAGGGGATGGCCTAAATCCCTGACACATCAGCAGTCACGTCGTTGTACCGTCTCGAAGTCCACCCACTCACCCACCACCATGTAGCCTATAAATATGGCATTTACTCTGGTGGGTGAGGGGATCGCATTTTTGCACCATTCTCTCTCCATAGCAACTACTTCTCTTTCTAAAAGTTCGAACCTTGATTCCTCACTCGACTCGTCAGTTCTTATTCCGTCAATTAAACCTGATCCTAGCGTTCCTTCTTGACCCGAACTCTCACACGAACCTCACTCCTACACTCAGTTAGGTTCAAACAATTGGCGCCCACCGTGGGGCCAAGAAGAAACGCTGAAGAAAATCCACCAATGGCAGAACACAACCACGACCAACCTGACCAAGCGACGCCGATCAAGGCAATGACTGACCCGAGGGCGTTCGCGGAAGCCAGCAACCTCAACGCCGTGCTCATAGAAGAAGAGGAGCCCGAGCTGACGGCCAAGGAAATGAGGGAGCTGTTGAGGAAACAAAACAACGTCATAGCCGACATGCAAAAACAAATGAGCCAAGTCATCACGCTCATGATGAGCAGGGAAAGCGCGCTAACGACAGGCGCGACAGCGCCCGCGTCCCAACAAGCCTTGGTTGACGCGCCTCAACAAGCCTTGGTGGACGCACCTCAACAGGCCTTAGGAGAAACATCGGGGACAGCTCAACTCCCCCAACACACGCCAACAGAACTTCCCGCGGGTGAAGCGCCGGGGATCGACCTATCGGGGCGGACAGACCTCAGCTTCTTAGAGCAACACCTATCTCCCCAATATCGACCCATCCCGCCTAAAAGGATCCTTCACCAGCCATTGAGCGCACAAATAATGGCGGAGAACATAACCGGAGCGCCGCCCATCCTCCCGACATACAACGGCACAACGGATCCGGAAGACCACGTAAGCACCTTCTGCTTGCGTATGCAACTCCAAACCAACTCCAACGCCGCCCTGTGCAGAACCTTCCCGTCGACGTTCGCCGGCATATGCCTCGATTGGTACAACCGCCTCCCAAACGGGATCATCCGCTCGTTCGAAGAGTTCATACTCCTGTTCACCACGAAGTTCGCGTCCCAGAAACGACGCCCCCTTCACCTCAAGGCCCTGATAGATATCAGGCAAAAGGATGGAGAAAGCCTGAGGGCCTTCTACGCCAGATGGTCCAGGATTGCGATGGCTGTCCGCGACCTCACCCCCGAAACTGCCGCCCATCACCTCATGGAGGCCACCAACAATATGGAGCTTAAGCGGGCGTTGGCAAAAAGGCCCGTCACGCTGTCCACAGAATTGGAAATGAAGATCGAAAAGGCAATCACGTTGGAAGAAACCTTGGGATCAGGGTCCGTCAGGCGCTTCGAACCAACAAAAATGCCACGAGAAGAACAGGCGCGCCGCCAGGCTCCAGCTCCAGTCACCCGCGACCAACTGCTGCAGATGCACAGTGGCCCAAAGCGCGTTCCTCCTCCTCCCCCACCGGAACAGGCGCAGCGCGGTCGATCACCCGACAGGCGTGGCGCGCCCAACGCCTACACCCCCCTAAATGACTCCGTGAGGAATGTGTTTCACGTCCTTCGCGAGAAAGGCTACAAGCTCAATTGGCCTGCCCCGTTGAAATCCCAACCCCACATGCGCAACCCACATACGCATTGTGAATTCCACAGAGCAACGGGGCACCGGACGGAAGAATGCAGAGAGCTGAGGTATGAAATAGAGGGCCTCGTACGGCGAGGGTTGCTAACCGAGTTTGTTCATGTAAAGAAAGAGCAAGCTGAGGCACCACTACACCCGCCGCCGCCACCACCGCAAACCGACTATGATGAAGACACAGGCGCGTATGTAGTGCGCAAAGAGATCGGGGTGGTGACAGTTGAAGGAGACCGTCCCCAGAAGAAAACCAAACGTGAGCGTGCAGCAGAGTGCGCTGCCGTCAACGCGCCAACGAAGTTCAATCTGAGCTTCGACGACGCGGAGTTCCCACAAGGAGTCCCATCCGAGGAACCACTCATTATCACCGCGCTAATCGCCGCCTGTAAGACCCACCGCCTCTTGATAGATGGAGGCAGCGCGGCCGACATCCTCTTCCAGAGCACCATTGACAAAATGGACATTGACCCGCGCCTAATCAGGCGCGCGCAAGGTAACCTGGTCGGTTTCTCCGGAACCAAAGTCCCGGTAATTGGAGTGGTCACCCTCCCTGTGGTGATTGGCGACCAGGAACCACGCGTCTCCAAACAGGTAGAGTTCACAATCGTCAATTGTGAATCAGCACACAATGGCATCCTTGGCCGGCCTTTCCTTGCGAAGTTCATGGCCCTCCCGTCGACGTGCCACCAGAAGCTCAAGTTCCCGACACAGAGAGGAGTTGGAGAAGCGCGAGGGACGACATGGGAGGACCGCGTCGTGGCTCGACAAACCAACATCGTCGACACTAGGGCGGAAGAACCCCGACCGGAGTCCATGGATTCCGATTTCGAGGTTGCGCTGGATCCCGCCGAGCCAACCAGGAAAATACGCATCTCCACTCACGTCAGCAGCGACGCAATCGGGCCACTCGTGACGCTGCTGAAGGAGTACCAAGAACTGTTCGCATGGTGCGCAGAAGACATGCCAGGAGTGCCCAGAGAGGTAGCGCAACATAACCTCGCAGTCCCAGCCAATGCGGAGCCAAAGCAACAAGGGCGGAGACCCTTCACTGGCGACAAACTAAAGGC